AGGATGATGCCATGGCCTTTGGCTAGTATAATAAAGTTTGTGATGATGACTATGCCACTCGTGAGAGCCAGTGTGGTGTAGGAGGTTAAGAGCGGTGGACTCGTAATCTGGTGAACCGGGTTTGATTCCCCGCTCCTCCACATGCAGCTGCTGGGTGACCTTGGGCCAGTCACACTTCTCTGAAGTCTCTCAGCCCCACTCACCTCACAGAGTGTTTGTTGTGGGGGAGGAAGGGAAAGGAGATTGTTAGCCGCTTTGAGACTCCTTAGGGGAGTGATAAAGCGGGATATCAAATCTCCTTCATGTGCTTTTTGTGTCTGTCCCAAGAGGCAAGGGCTGCATTTATAACCACAAAGCTGCAGACCTACCCCCAAGGCACTGGCTATAAAAGTAGGTTACCAGAGTTAAACGAGAATTCATTTGGTAGTTGGGTGGTAGAGTATCTGCTTTAAACGCAGAAGGTCCAAATTTCAACCCCTGGCATTTCCAGCTACTTGGGATAGACCCCCTTCCTGAATCCCCAGAGAGCTGCTGCCAGCCAGTGTCGACACCATTAAGTTGAATGGACCGACGGTGTGATTCTGTGCAAGGCATCAAGGCAGCTGCAGGAGAGGTACAGATGGAAGTACGTAAGATGAGCCTGTTGGATCAGAACAATGGCCGGTCTCGTCCTGCTTCCTGCCCTCAAAGTGGCCAACCAGATGCCATTGGGAAACCTTCGAGCAGGATTCGAACACAGGAGCAAACTCCCCACTTGCCAGCAATCAGCAATTCAGGCGATTCAGCTTATCATAAGATGAACTGAAATGATGTACATGTGTGGTTATAATTAGCAATGAGACAGGGAATGTACATCTGGCATTATTTTCTATAGTTGTATTGTGTTTGCAGGGATATGTCCTTCAAAGGCATTCTTCTTTCAACAAGACTTTTAAGTGGAGATCTTCATCCAAACTGGTACCTCCATTGGATCTGAATTTATTTTGTGTCTGCTGTTGTTTCAATCTCTCTCTCTCTGGGTAGCTTTTTTAAAAAAATGTTTTTATATACGCTAATAGCTCCCCATCTCTCTACTCCACCTACAGACCCCTTGAAAAATGCTGAGAGTCTTGGCGGACCACTTAATAATTGTTCTGTCCTTCATAATGTGCTTTGCTAGACGCTGTATGGCTTTTCATTGCAGTTTTACAGACATGCCACAGACCTCCTGAACGAAGCTCGCAGATGACCAGCGGTCTACAGACTCCAGCTTAGGAACTCCTGATATATGCAATTGCTATACCTGTTTCAAACAGCTGACTGACTGTATGTGGTTTTTTTTTTAACATTGTAAATCACTTCAGGATGTCTCATGGGAAGAGATCCATAAACAACATTATTTTTTCAGTGGCATGACCATGATGAATAACAAGCTGCAAACTCTCAAGTTTGCAATTGCTGCAGTTGCCCTGCAACAGAAAATCATAGCATTCTGGTGTTGGAAGTCTAACCCCTTGAAAAGAAGGAACCTTTTTGTCCAACGTGGGTCTCGAACCCACAGCCCCGAGGTTAAGAGTCTCGTGCTCTACCAACTGAGTTATCTGTACAGAAGCAACTCTGAAGCTTCCAGCACCTGGGTGGATCAGATGCAATGATCTTCAACCATTTCAGAGAATAAACTTTAACCCAAACATGCATTTGGGACTCATTCCTTATTATTATTATTTTTAATAATCTTTTTCTATGGTAGTAGTGCTTCTCCTGCAACCCATCAGCTGAAAACCAGCGGATCAGAGAAAACCTGATTGGATTGCTCTAAAATCTGGAACGAGATTGGTCAAATTTCCCCCTTTGGACTCAAAGGAGCTATTGCACTGTCCATGCACTAAAACAAATTGCTGTTGCGGTTAGTGAGCAATTGCTGTATTGTTTTATGCAATTACGGTTCCAGCTACAGAAAACTATTCAGCTGAGATAGTTGCAAGATTTGCTCCACCTTAAGGCAGGGAGGTTCCAAAGGGAAAAGAATGGCAGAGGTACCTGGAGAGGAGAATATTGCAGTTCTGAGCCCTCCGCCCGTCTATAACCGAAAGCTCCTTGACTTTATGCCGCGAACTGAGGGTGTCGTCCAAAGAGTCTTCTTTCTGCAGGAAGCATGAAAAGAATCCATTAATAAGCAGATGCACACATCGACGTTTCAGAACTTCCGGCGCATGCCAGCATCCCGAACATCAATCAAGAACCTTTACCGCGGCGGACGAGAAAAACCCGGAGCCTGCAACTGAAATACAATCAGCTGTTTCATAAACCGGAATGTTCTTTTGGGAAAAGAAAGGGGGGGGGGGAGAGCTATTGGTTACAAGTGTATAAATATTTATCCAGATGGAAAGATTTAAGAACCCGCAAGTGTGCGGACAGTGGGGATCATGTAAAGGCTTTCCTCGCGCACACAAATTACGATATTCTATTTGGAACTGTTTGCCTAGCAGCTGGGAAGATTGCAGAGCTCCGTTCAGGAGTTTCAAAGCCCCGTTTCGTTTTTTGAAGGGGTGGCACTGTGGTCTAAACCACTGAGCCTCTTGGGCTTGCTGAACAGAAGGTCAGCGGTTCAAATCCCCGCAACAGGGTGAGCTCCCGTTGCTCTGTCCCAGCTTCTGCCAACCTAGCAGTTCGAAAGCATACCAGCACGAGTAGATAATTAGGTACCACTGGGGTGGGAAGGTAAACAACGTTTCGGTGTGCTGTGGCTTCGGTCACGATGTTCCTTTGCGCCAAAAGCGGTTTAGTCCTGCTGGCCACATGACACAGAAAGCTGTCTGTGGACAAATGCCAGCTCCCTTGGCCTGAAAGCAAGATGAGTGCCGCAACCCCATAGTCGTCTTTGACTGGACTTAACCGTCCAGGGGTCATTTACCTTTTACCTTACAGCCCCAAGTCAGTGCCAGAGGTTTAAATCCTTGGCATCGCCAGACAAACTGGGATTGGAAAGATTCCTGCCTGAGACTATGGAGAGATGCTGCCAGCCAGAGTAGACAATATTGGCCTAGGAAGAGCAATATCACGATTCAATATACAGACGCTTCGTGTTCAAAAGGGAACCATCGCATACAAACCTGTTTTATACAAAGTTAGAGCACTGGAACCTAAAAGAGCACCTCAGCTAACACCAACCAGCTTGGATCCCACAGTCGGCAGGTGAAGTATTGGTGGTTGTGCCATTACTGGGGGCTGCCTACTTGGTGTTGACCCCCCACTTGACAGAGCCTTTTCAGGGATGGCTCCCAATTTGTGGAATGCGCTCCCTGGTGTGTTCTCCCTGTCTCCCTCCTTATTGACTTTTGGAAGGAATCTAAAAACTGAATTTGATGGCTGGAAAGCACATCCTGAAATCACTAAGAGAAATATCTATTTATTTATCTTATTTTTGATGTGCTTGCTGTCCTGGGCTCCTCTGGGAGGAAGGACGGGATATAAACTGAATCATTGCCATCAATAACACTTCTCCTCCTCCTCCAATATTGTCTACTCTGACTAGCAGCAGGGGGTTGGGCTAGATGACCCTCAGGGGTCCCTTCCAACTCTACAATTCTATGATTCTAGGTCCCTGGGGGTGGGATTGAACCTGGGATTTCTTGCTGCCAAGAATGTACTCTATTTTTGCGCTGGGCCCAGCAATGGTACCCTACCATAGAATACTTTGGGGACAGATCTAGAGGACTTAGGGTGGGGAAATGAAACCTCAATTCAAAAGACAACCAACAAAACATTGAGCTGCAGGCAGAAACATTTAGGATTTTTCACCCACAGTCCCAAAAGCTGAGCAATGCAAGTGCGAGATTGGTTCGGGAAGTACACAAGGGGCTCTCTGAGACATCAGTGGCTCGTTGAAATGACAACAGCTGTCTTAAACCTTGGATGTTATACCTCGAAATGCGCAAATATGGGAAAATGCCCTGGGAATGCTGCACAAGATGAAGCGAAGTCCAGTAACCTGGCACATAAATACAAACCAGTAACATAAAATAGAGATTCATTCTACCAACACATGCACACACTTTCCAGCGCTTGAGTGACCTGCGGCCTCTCTGCCACAAGACACAGCATAGGCCGAGTGCGAAACACACATGTAAGGATTAGAGAATAATAATAATAATAATAATAATAATAATAAATTTTTATTTATATCCCGCCCTCCCCAGCCGAAGCTGGGCTCAGGGCGGCTAACAACAATCAAAACAATCCAACATTCTAAAAACATTCATTATAAAATTAATTAAAATCAAATTAATGGCAACCATTGAGCAACATTCTGTGCAGATTGCCAGAGGAGGCGGTCAGGCTGCGCCCTGATCAAAGGCCTGGTGGAACAGCTCTGTCTTGCAGGCCCTGCGGAAAGATGTCAGGTCCCGCAGGGCCCTAGTCTCTTGTGAATAAGGAATAAGTCACTGCTGTTAAGCATAGTCATTTAATTTACTGAACCTGGGAATGCTTAAATGCATTCTTGTGTTTAATTCCGGAATGCTCCCCAATAACCCACGTGCAATTGGTTAAATCTGGTCGCATGGGAGGTATCTTATTACAGTCTTGATTGTTTTGTGTGCGTGTGTAAGTGACTTGACTGCAATGGCCGCATCTCCGTGAACACTGAGGAAGAGACAGTGTTAGATAACTCTGGCTGAATCTACACAGATATAAAAAACGCTGCGAAAATGCTTTTTTTAAAAAAGAAGTTGTAAAATATACCGTATATGGGATTTGCCATTAGCTCATCGGCGCCATCTAGTGCCACATTTGTATAGTGCACTTAAAGCACACTTAAAACGTTATATTTGCAGCTGTATAGCTGAGTCCCTTCTCTCTCAGAGCAATAGAGGAGAGGCGTGCTAATGTTTCTGTGTGAATGCTTGTGACAGAAAGAAGCACGAAAGTTGATATTCTCCCAAAGAAGCTATAAGTCTGCTGAAAGGAGAAAGTCGAGACCTCTCAGAAGGAGCTGCATGGCCCGGCTGGATCATGAGTGGAAAGAGAGAAAGACACAGTTTGTTTGAAAGTTTAAGGAAGAAGCTGTAAACTTCAACTAAGAAAAACTAAGCCCGTGCTTGGATAAGCATGTGAATGCAAATACTTTGCATATATTCTTCGTCAGCTGTATGTTCTGCAAGTAAAAGATTCTGAATGTTTTAACAAGTGTTCGGACATTGTTTTAATTTCAAGAAATGAGTCGGTATTGCACATGATTTGGCTTCTGAGCTGCAATTTAGCTGCTCTGCCAACAACTACTGACCATGAAGGAAAAGCCCAAATTCAGCTGTGCTGGATCTGCTGAAAAAGAGACAGGTCCATTCCTCTCCAGCTACTGCAGCTCTGAGACAAGGAAGTTATTTTAATGAATTTAAAATACACCCAAGGCTACATTAACAGCCTCCTTGCAAGCAGATGCAAACAGGGTATAGGTTTTTTTTTTTTACTTCAAAGCACCAGAGCCCATCAACCCCACCTAAGCTTCTGTCCCTTTGAAATAAAATTTGGGAGTCCAGCATTTTATCGCTCAAGGGAATTCATTGGAACTCACTCGTTCAACGGAAGGTGGGGTGTTTTTTTGGGTGGGGGCCCAGAAGCACACTTACCTGTCTGGAGTTATTGTTCACAAAGAAGTCCTACAGCCAGAGCAGAAGCATGGGACAGGCGGGAAAAAAGCGAGCAGTTCAGTGGTCACAGCAAAAAATAAACAAACAAAAGGAACAACCACAAAACAAGAGAGAAGAGTCAACAGTGCAGTTGGGAAAGGGTATATTTATATAATTCAGCGGTGCTCTTTTTCACCCCCTTCTTCTCAACCCCCCACTTTGCAAAACGAAACAAGAAGCCAACAAGCCCCCACAGCTCTCTGGATAGACCAGCTGCGGTCCCGATAATGCAGACCAGGAGACATGGCAAAGTAAACGGAGATTAGCAGAAGGGGTGCACCATATCAGACAGGCATGCAGAGGCAGAGACAGGCAACAGGCAAGGCAAGGCAAGGCTGCTTGTTAGGAAGACGCCGTTTCATTTCACCGGTCATGCATATTTGCGCCAACGCGGGGCGGAGAATGGACCCCGCACATGGAAGTGAACAAGCAATTATTCCATCCCCCGGGGGCTTGTCAACGCCAAGAGAGATGGCCCAAGGTGGCTGCGGATTCATTATTTCATGGTGTTCGTGCTGGATGCTGGGTTGGTTCTTATGCTACGAGGGCAGGGAGGTTGCTGCTGCCTGAAGTGATACCAGAATGGCGAGCATCACGTAGAAGCGCCATGGAAGTAGCACGCAGCCATCATGGCCAGTGGCCTCATCTGCCTAATCCCCTGCAAAAGCTGTCTTAAAAGTTGGCAGCTGCCACCGCTTCAAAAGGCAACCGACTCCATCGTGTAGCTACGTGCTGAAACCACCATGTGGGACCCTTAGGCAACCTGCCACGGTCCCCTCTGCCGCCCCAAGGGGACTCCATGGTTCATCTCACTTCAGGCGGAGCCTGCCAAGACTGCAAGCCGCATCCAATTTTGCCGTGGCCTGAATGAGAGTGGCTCCCAGAATCCCCTGCTCCTGTGTCCCTGAGGATTCTGAGAG